ATAAATGTCCTCCCCAGAGTACTGCGTGTCTGGGCAGTGTCCAGACGAAGTGGCCATATATGACTTTGTTCACCACTGAGAACGTACATGGTTTAGGCAGGTAGCAAAATCCATTTGGTCAGACGTTTGTCCTGATCCTATTTTGATGTGTCTTTCTGTCTCTCCTTCCTCTGACACATACTCTACCAGCTGCCTCTATCCTGCCCACTGGAAGCACGCTGGTCCAGTAGTATGGCAGGCTGGGACGTCAGTGCTGGTGAGGGAGGATTTCCTGCCCTGCGTGGGCAGCTTAGGCCCACAAGAGAAGACCTGAGGGAGTGTAGGATGTGAGCAGATAGACCTGGCTTCTGATTAGTAAATTGTCATCAGAATTTCTGGTTGGCTTAATTTAAACGCAGCCAGATTTCCTTGTAAGCCTCAGAGCCCGAAGCCTGGATTTTTTTTTAAAGATTTTATTTATTTATTCATGAGAGACACACAGAGAGGCAGAGACACAGGCAGAGGGAGAAGCAGGCTGCCTGCGGGGAGCCCGATGTGGACCCGATCCTGGGACTTGGGGATCACGACCTGAGCCAAAGGCAGACGCTCAACCGCTGAGCCACCCAGGTGACCCTAAAGCTTGGATTCTTGAGCCCTTGTTTATGTTGAAGCTAATTTTTGTAGTTGGTAGGAAAGTTATTGCTTAGACTATACCAATTCAGTGTGTAAGACAATACACTGAGATTCCAAGCTTTAAAGTGAAGTTTTTATTCATTATTACTTGAGTGGGTGACTTTAATGGAATTATGTCTTGTAAAACAGCTTAGCATTTCATGTTTCAAAATTCTGCATGGTTACTTCAGTGCTCTAGAGCAGTTTGGCATTAGTTTTTGACTCTTATGACTTTAATTACAAAAACGGAGAGAAAATCATGGCAGCATCCTTTATAAGATTAGCTAAATAATACCGCGATGATCCGTGTAAAATATTATTGCCAGGAACAGAGTACAATGTTGAGTAAAGGCGAAGATGATTGCCATTTTGAGTGTTAGCGATTAGCACTAGTAATCACAGAACATCAGATCAATGCAATCAAAGCCCCTTTTTAAAATGAATTTTCATTTCCCTTAAATGAAGGTGCAGGAAGCCCCAAGATCAGACTTTGCTCTCCGGTGGTATTTCAGGTTCACTCTGAAGGTTTAAGTGAGGAAGGGCTATATGTGGTAAAAGCTGGATCATTGTTTTCGTGGCTGCTGCTAGCAAAAACAATATGCAAAAAACAGTTGGATGGGTCCTCAGTAGATTAAATATAGAATTCCTGAGTGACTCAGCAGTTTTACTCCTGGGTAGATAAACCCCCAAAATTGAAAACAGGCATTCCAACTAAAACTTGTACATGAATGTTCACAGTGGCACACAATTTACAAGAGCCCAAAGGTAGAAACAACCCAAACGTCCATCATTGCATGAATGGATAAACAAAATGTGGTACATTCATCCAGTGGAATATTATTCAGCCCCCCAAAAGGAATGAAGCATTAATACACGTTACAGCATGGATGTGAACATGAAAACGTTATGCCAAGTGGAAAAGCCAGACACAGAAATGGAATGCTGTACAATTCCATTTATATGAAATTTCCAGAACTGGCAAATCTGCAGAGATGGAAAACAGATTAGTGGTTGCCGTGTGGAGAGAGGGCAAGGAGGAAGGGAGAAAGCAGAGTGACTGGCTTCTTCAAGGTGACGAAAATGTTTTGGAGTAGATAGATGCCTAATGTTGTGAATGTGCTAAATGCCACCGATGGTACACTGTGTGTTCTGGGTGTTTTATTACCACAGTACAGAAAAGGCGGGGTGAAAAGATCCTCATTCTTTGTGAAGCCCATTCAAGTTTGGGTGGGGTGAATTACATAGAAGGGATACATGGCAAACGGAGGGCAAAGTAGTGGCAGCCACTTGAGGTCTGCTTGACAAGTCTGGCACTTCCTGGTTGGGATCCCCAGTCCTGGCTCCTGCCTTGTGTGGGTGCAGTGGGCACACTGGCCACACCAGCCTCTGCTCCGGGGGTGCCTGGTGTCTCATGTGACTGGAGACAGTTTTAAGTCTGGGGCAGCTTGTTTGAAAGCCTCACTGAAAGACGTTGGAAGCGGTGGGATACTGAGCCGTTTAAAACCCAAGCATGCAGAAATCCAGCAGATAGAACTTGTAATTGCAGTGAGGCCAGGACAATTTCAGTTTGCCCAATGAAAAGGAAAATAAACTTTTATGACCTGGTGGTGCTAGAATAAGTTTAGTTAAAAGTGCGTGGAGAGTTTCTAGTTACTGCCACACACGTTCTTTTCCCTTGTCCTTGGGAGAGTGCCACTGTTCTTCACACTGTTTCTACCCTCAAAAGAAAAGTTTTCAAATGGTTTTTCTTTATGATGATGAAAGTAGTATTTGTTTATTACAGAAGTTGAGAAAAAGCAGAAATTCTCTATATATGCGTCTGTGTATATAAATCTCAGATCAGGGATAAGATTGTAGATGTTTTGGCACGTATCCGTTGTCCTTTTATTTTTTTTAATTTTTTATGTAAATTCCAGTTACTTAGCAGAGTGTTGTATTAGTTTCAGGTGTATAGTAGAACGATTAGCCACTTCCATACATCACCTGGTACTCATCAGGACAAAAGCACTCCTTAATCCCCATCACCTGTTTAGTCCATGAATCTGTAGTTACCAGTATCTTCACTTTCACTAGGATCATGCACTTATCGATATAGCATGGGCATCTTTGGGAATTACTGATTTACACACTTTTTGTGGTTGCGTAGTATTCCATTTTACACACATTGTCATGACTGGTGTCCTAAATGAGCAGGAGGCTTTCCTTAGAGTGGTTCCTCTGTGGTCACTTAGCCCTCTGTCAGAGATGGTTGGTGACTCGGGTTTCTGAAATTATTTTCTATTATTTATGCTGATCAATGGTAACCTTCAAAGCAGAGGTCATGGATGGTAACGGGAGTAGAGATCTATAAACAATCAACTCCAAAACCCATAGCTTTTAGGAAACTTTCCCTGACTGAGCTCAATTCCATTCAGTAATTCTGTCTTCTGTGTCCCAACAGAAGAGGGACAGAAGACTATGCAAGGGCATGGGCTTTGGGGCCAGACTGCAGGGGTTCTCATTCTGGCTTTCACGATGTTGGGCAGATTCAGTGTCTCAGTGTTGTCATCTGTAAAATGGGGATAATAGTCCCTATCAGAGTTCCTGAGTGGCTCAGTCGGTGAAGCATCTGCCTTTGGGTCAGGTCATGTTGCCAGGGTTCTGGGATCGAGTCCCACATCAGAGGCTTTTGCCTCTATCTCTGCCACTCTCTTACTCTCTGCCAAATAAATAAATAAAATCTTAAAAAAAGGTCCCTGTCCTCTAGGCCAGTTGAGATGATCCATGCCAGAAGTCCCTGGTGCACAGGACCTGGCACCTCGCTAGGACTCTGTGAATGGCAAGGGTTATTATCATTATTTGATTCGTTCAAGCGCCCCTCCCAGTCTGTGGCATCAGGAGCTCATTGTGTGTGCTGGGATGGCTGTAATAGGTTATAGACTCTGAAAAGCTCAAATGCCAAAGTGATGATACAGCGTTTTCCACCCAGTGAGCCCCCAGCTAATTGTCTGACCCTAACCGACCTGCTGCAATTGTGGGGTCCTCTTGGTTGAAGTTGGTCTTCATTTCCCATTAAAAAAATAAATAGGGCAGCCCGGGTGGCTCAGTGGTTTAGTGCCACCTTCGGCCCGGGGCCTGATCCTAGAGATCTGGGGTCGAGTCCCATATTGGGCTCCCTGCATGGAGCTTGCTTCTCCCTCTGCCTGTGTCTCTGTCTCTGTCTCTGTCTCTCTCTCTCTCTGTTTCATGAATAAATAAATAAAATATTAAAAATAAATAAATAGATAGATAGCAAAACCAAACAGAAAACCCAGAAACTCTGAGAAGTGGATAGAGGTGAAACACACTTTCCTCTGATAGGTCAACATCATGGCTGTGGGCTTTCCAACACTCTTATCTAAGGAAATTCTTGACTAGGAGAGCCCAGAGATCTTCAATGATTGTGATAACAACTAGAAATACATCAAAGAACAAAAAGCCATTATTCTAAAAAAAACGGTCTATAGCTGAAGAGCAAATAAAGTCTTGTCTTCCATCACTTATTTGGGATTCTTGGGAACTGAATTATTCTCTGTAAGTAGATTTTCTAGATGGCAAAAGCTCATTCATGTAACCACTGTAACATTTGGCATTTTAACTATTTTGATGTACTACTTTCTTTACGCGTGCTGCATGGTTTATAGCTTTGATACAGAGAATATATTGAAAACAATCCCGCCAGTTAGTTAGGCTTTGAGTTTCATTGTTAATATGTCATTGCTGTCCTTTGTTTTTTAGCTCTGCCCCATAATTTTAATGCCATTTGTCTCTGAGAGACTCAGGCAACTGTAACTCTGCCATGCTCTTCACTTCTTACTCTTCTCTCTCCCTTCTTTCTTACGGGCAGGGTGTGTTGGTCTTAGTTTCTACTGCAGAAATGTTTCTAATTGCTTTCTCCAAATCAAGAAGACCTTTCTAATGTGCTGATTTATAAAATTGTATGCCCTGGAAAACCAGAACCCCAAGTCTGTTACTATTTTGTGTAAAGTAAGATTAATAGGCATTGAATAAAATCATGTATTCTGTGACAGGTTCTTTGACCATTCAGGGACTTTGAAAGATTTGCTTTCTGGTCACAGGCTATTATCTGGTAGAGATTTGACTCTGGGCAAGATGCCACTTTATTTAGAAACTGTAGTGCTTATGGTTTTCCATTCTAGCCCTGGTGCTTTGCTGCTGCTCATAAGTGAAGTCGCTGATGAAAGAAAAATAGTCCCCTGTCCCCTGTGCAGTTGATAAAAAGTTTTATAACATGGAATTTGGATATTTTTAATAGAGAGTACAATATCCTTAGATGGAATTTCATGTGTGTTTTCTCATTTTCTTTACAGAGACATAATTATGAGTCTAACTGTTGGGAAACTCATAGACCATGAACTTGTAACTCTTGCACGTCACTACGGGGTACCCAAGGACCCATGTCCCGATATGAGTGTCCTAATTGCACAGGCCCATGAACAGCTCAAGAAAAACACTTTTGAGAATTTTGAAAGTCTCATTTCTACTTGTGTATACCAAGATCGAGAAAAGTAAGTTTTATCGACGTTAGTAGATCATTTAAGTTCCTGTGGACCCAAGTAACGAAGGAATTTATATCTTATCCAAAAGGGGCAAAAGAACACTGAGATGTTCCATCAGACTCCATTACATAGCAAAAGAACTTTAAATCATTTTTGGAAAGTATCTGGGTACCAATATTTCGTAGTGATGATGAGCTTTGTTTTTTGATGGAATGGGAAAGTCCCTTGTGTCTTCAAAAAAAGATGATACCCCTTTGCATTTCCTTTTTTTTTTTTGGTTTCTAGAGGCTTTCAATGGAAACATAGTAAGTCCAGATGTTAGAAGGTTTAATTCTGATATGTCTTCTTCTTACATTATTCTAGTGATAGCTGGGATTTATAAATGTGTCTTTTTTTAAAAGATTTTATTTATTTATTCATGATGAGAGGGGGGGGGCAGAGACACAGGCAGAGGGAGATGCAGGCTCCATGCAGGGAGCCTAACATGGGACTCAAGCCTGGGTCTCCAGGATCACGCCCTGGGCCAAAGGCAGGCGCTAAACCGCTGAGCCACCCAGGGATCCCCAAATGTGTCTTTTCTAATACAGAGAACAGAGAATTTACGAGTAAACTTCCTATAAAATTTCTTTGAAATTATTTCTTCTTGAAAATAACAAGGTTCAGCATAATCAATTTCTAGTACATTTGCCATGTTTCTATTGATCTTTACTAAGTCATTTTTATAAACTGGAGCCCCATCTTAGTGTTTTGGTGTTCATCTTACCCATAGACCTGATATTGTCGGGGAAAATACTCACCGGGAATTAGAAAATCTTAGTCCTAACTCTAGCCTCTGATTTTGTTACCACGTACCACTGCCATTTCTTTGCCCCATGATTTATCCCATCATTCCCAGACCTGAAGTTCATACCCAAGTGGCTGGCTGCATAAACTAAGTATCTTTGGAGGTCCCAGAGTTTATCTTAATGATGAGCATGATTTATTTTCCTAATCCATAATACACTGTTGTTGAATTCTTGTAGAGATGGTATTTTCCCTTAAGCTTTCCTGAGCCTCTGGAGGTTGTATGGCCTGAGCTTTGTGTGACCCTGGCCCTGCCTTCCACCCTGGTGGTATCCCTTGCCCAGGGTGAGAAGTGTGACACTCCTGCACTAAAGGACCACCTCCTGGGAATGATGGAGCTGCTTGATCAGATGGCTCTGAGGTTTTTCCAGATCTGACCAGCTTCAATTCTAGACATTCACATTCTCTCATCGTCTTATAAACTCACTGTGAATACAGCAGCTCCCTTTCCTTCCTATTGGTTCTGATTTTGCCTGGTGCCTAGAAGAGCATTGGCTGAATGAGAACATTGGACAAGCATTTCTGTGCCCCTGGCAGCCTGGGGAAAATCACTGTTGAGCTGCTCTGGAGAAGTCATCTGACAAAATTGAGGTGGATGTGAAAGCACCAGCTGAGGCTTCCAGGTTACAGATTTGGGTCCAAGGAAAAGACTAGAAAAACACCCTCAGGTCATACAGTACTTGCGTTGGAGGGTCTAGATGCCTGTCAAATGAAGAGGTGTTTTCAAATATCAGAAAGTTTGACTAGTGGTCAAGAATGCAGACCAATTACTTAGAGCAACACTCATGGCTGCAGCCTTAATATGCTGTACTATCAGCATATTAATGGAAAGGCCTTTGGAAGGACAGAATCTGATGACTTTTGAAATGGAAAAGTTGGTGAAATGCAATATGACTGTTTTTCCTTATTGTGAATTCCAATACCAATTTTTATACTCATTTCCATGTGCAGATTTTGAGGACACATCTGTATTTTCTTTCCTATAGCATGTAATTGTTACTTGAGAAACATAAAGTACATAAAGACCTGTTTACTTTGTTTTAATGCAGAAAAAAAGTATTACCCAGCAAAGACATCAGAAGGCTGTGCAAGTCCTTCAGGTTACCTTTGTCTGATGATCTTCTGGGATCCATACTGTCCGGGTAAGTGAGAGCTCCACCCTTCATGGAGTTTGTCCTGCATATTTTTGTTTGGGGGCCTATTCCTGGTTATACATTCACCTCTAATTACCCTTGATTTACCCTTGACTGTTTCCACTGTATTATTGATGACACACGTCCATGTGAGTGTCACAAAAAGAAAAGTTAGTTATGATTTTGAATACTGGCCTATTACGAACTGAAATTTTATCTTGTTAACATTAAGATACACACACATACACACAGATTCCCGAGACAAAATGAAAACATCTGATTTCACTGGTTATGAGGGTATTAGATCTAAAATTCAGGGCAGGTTTTTCAAAGCTGTCGTTCCTGCTGGTTAAAAACATGCAGGAAGAGGGCCTAGTGTTATTAGCACAGGACTCTATCCTACTAGAGCACCAGATGTAAAGTGTGAAGATTATGAATTTGCAAAAGGAAAGCACAAAGAACCACTTTCTAAAATACCTGGCTCTCCTGTTGATCGTTTACTTTTGACTTCTGGTACCACCCTCCTAGCTATGCAGATTCTGGTCATCTTTTATGTTTCCTGTGGCATTATCCCAGTCCTGACTCTGACTCACTTATCTTCGTAACTCTGACATTTTGAACTGTGTTCTAGGCATTGTTATCATTGCTCTGAAGACATTACCTCACTGTTTTGTGAGAACAACTTTGGGAGTCACAACTATGATCCTCTTTACGTGATGATGCTGAGGTTTAGAGAGATGAGATATTTTTGCCCAAAGTCACATAGTCTAAAGGAAGAGCTGTAACTTAATCCCTGAACCTTTCAAATGCACATCCCCTGCTTCTAACCATTTTGAATTACTGCCTACAAATATCCAGTAGATAAGAATGTCCTGACAGTTCTACCTCCTTCCTACTCCTTGCATCCACTCTTCCCTCTCCATTCCCACTATCTTCACTCTTGTTCTGACCCATATTTCTTCTTGACTATTACAGACCTTCTATGTTGGTCTTTCTCCTACCAGTCTCTAAATGTTTAAATCCATCTTTATATGCAGCAGCTTAATACCTTCTAAGAACAAAAATGTCATAGTGCTGCTCTTCTGCTCACAAACTTTCTGTAATGCTTTAAGGGAAGACCACAGTCATTAGCTTTGAACTCCTTCTCCCCCCTTCTCCATCGGGAGGCTTTGGGCTGTTAGAGCGTTGGTCTTAAGCAGGGGCTAGAGTGGAGAGTCCTCATCTGAGACAAAAGGAACGGATAAAACTAAATCCCATGCAGGACAACTGGGGTCTGAAGTATCAGAAGGGAACTGAGGAGAGCCAATCCAATTGGATGTGTGCATTGGATTGACCTGGTATATTTTCTGGACTATCAGCTCAATTTGCTTTTATTTGCTAGCATCGGTGTGAGGGATAAGTAGGTCAGACTTGAGATGGAATAGGCAGGCCTAAGAGTCCACTTTCTTTAGTTAGCACATTCCCAAAGCCACATGGGCTAGCTAGCTATTTATTTACTTATTATTTATTTATTTAGCAAACATGAGCAGGGGGAGGGGCAGAGGGAGAGAGAGAATCTTCAGCTCTATGCCCAGCACAGAGCCCAGCACAGGGCTCGATCTCATGACCCTGGGATCATAACCTGAGTGGAACTCAAGAGTGGATACTTAACCCACTGAGCCATCCAGTCACCCCTCCGCATGAGCTCTTTAACATTTCACATGTATACCTCCTGCTTCCCACTTTTTTTTTTTTTTTTTGCCTTTTCTCTTGCTATTTCTCCAGTAGAAAATAGCCTCCAGTTTTCTTCACCTACTGAAAGCTTGCTCTTCCTCCAGGACCCGTTTCAGTTAGTACCCCATCCATGAAACCCTCTTAGATTCCCGTGGCTGGCAGTGATTATCTCCTCTAAATGATTCTCACAACTCTGTGTTTCTCTTTTTGTCTCTTACCTTGTAATGAAGATTTGTGACTTGATATTTGATCTATTCCGATGCGGAGAGCTGCTTTCAACCTATTTGATTTATCATCTGTAAACAACCAGTCAGTTGTCAAATCTTGATAGTTTCACCCCTGCCTTGTCTCTCGTATTCTGTGAATCCACCTGCTAGCTGTGTGATCTTGTGCAAGACTTTTTTTTAAAGCTTTATTTATTTATTTGAGAGAGAGAGAGAGCGCACACAAGCAGGAAGGGCAGAGGGAAAGGGAGAAAAAAAATCTCAGGCAGACTCCCTGCTGAGCACAGAGCCCAATGCAGGCCTTAATCCCAGGACACTGAGATCATGACCTGAGGTGAAACCAAGAGTCGCATGCTCAACTGACTGAGCCACCCAGGTGGCGCTTGTGCAGAATTTTTGAGCTGCCTAAACCTCAGATTCCTTACTTCTGAAATGACATAATACCCACTTCCTGGCAGTTCTGAGGGTAACTCGAAATAACATATATAGAGTACTCAGAGCAGCACCTGGTGCTAGGTGGTGAGTGGGGTTGAGGAGAGAAGTTAAAGTCAGGGACCACAGACCACACACTCTGACTTAGAAATGAACTGGAAGAAACTTGTGTCCTTCTACATAGAGGAAGCCTTGTTTTCAGACAGTTGGATCTGAAGGCGTTTCGCACATTAAGCTGTCTTCCAGTCAGGAAGCTGTGGATATTTATTAGATTATCTCTTATGGCCCCGGGGATGAATTGTCCTGGAGAGTCCAGTGATGTGGGAGCCTGGCCTCTGGAGGACCTCGATGTTTCTTCTCTAGCACTGAGGCCATCAAGTCATCATCCTCTGCTTTTCTCAGCGGACTGTTTTGTCTTTGCCTTTATGAAAGGCAGAGGATGACTGTTGCGCAGCTCGCTTCGAAGACATCTCAGGCTCAGCACACATCCGCCTCCAAGCTCAGCCCAGCTTTGTGGAGGTCATCCCTCTGAATTGCGAAGCAGACTACGTTCAGTCTAACTCTGCCTCTAATTGTGCAGTGACCCTGCCCCTCACTCAGGGGAAACTTTAGACTAGTCAGTAGAAAGTCTCACATTCCCAGTCCCCTCTCCCTCCAATATGCCCTGCCACGATTTGGGTCACATGCTTGGTGTTTTGCATCATCTCCGCAGATTCCTTTCAAAGACGGCCCTAATTCCTAATGGACCCATCAGCCTGCAGCTTACATTTATATTCTGCATTCTTATTGTTCCCCAAAGACTCCACAGGGCTTTCCAGAGCCTTGACCAGACTCTCTTTCTGCACAGCCCTCCTGTGGCACGCTAAGCCAGAGCCTCTCTGACGTCTACCATCTCCTGTGGGAGGCAGGCCTGGAGTTTGCTGTTTTGGTTCAGTGCACGCTCTGCCCGAGGGCAGTTTTACCTGCCGTGGGATGCAGCTGGGCAGCTGTTGAGCAACTGTATAGCTCTGCTGGGTGAATTCAGATCTGGAGATGGAAAACAACATGGCTAAAGATTGGGCCGATTTCTTTCATGCAGTGATTGTTACTCATGTGTTTTTCCTAGCCTAGTGTTTTGGTGTGAAGAGTTCCCTGTACTGCATTTCCATTTGTCTCTTGTGATTTCAGTTAGGTCTTTTCCTTATTAGCCCCTCGAGCTGGGACCAGACTTCAAAATCATTTCACATCCGGTTACCTGAGCCCCCACCAGTTGGTGCTGTGGTAGCTGGTATGAACTCACCTTACTTAGCAATCAAATTCATTTCACTAATACATAGAGCAGCAGACTTAAATGTCCTAAGTAGTAGTAGTAATGGGTAATACATTCATAATGGGACTGACACTCTTTATTGACATAGTGCCAGGGGCCCGAGAATATTTTGTAAATCCTTGAGCACTTTAAAAGGTACATTCTAGTTGAGGGTAGGCATGATTCCTCATTTTCTGAGCACAGACACTGAGGCATAAAGAGGCTTTGTCACTGTGAAAGAGCATGCTGCAGACCAAGATGAGTCTCTAACAGAATTAGAACAACAGTTCCCTAAGATACCCTAAACCTTTGTTTCTATCTGAGCTCCTAAGCATCAGGGCTATGTCTCATTCATCTTTGCGGCCCCAGAGACTTGTCCTGTGCTAATACACTGTGTGTGGGGAGGGATGGGGGGACACGTGCTTGACATCTACCAGACCTGCCTCCGAGCTCTGCCAACTGCACTGCTTCCCACCCATGTGATCCTTTTAAATGGACTCAACCCCTCTGAGCCCTCATTTGGATTTTTTAATGTTTCCTCAGTATTAATAAGTAAGAAAGGCTGGTTCTCAAACCATCAGGAAGTGGAGAGTATTCTGTGGTCATTCCATTCTGTGTTCTGTGTGGGGCTGGGGAGTAGGGGTAGCCTCCTTCCCTAATTGTGGCCTTATGAATCGACACATGGAATAACTGGAAATTCAGGCACAGCTCTTTCCCCAGCAGCTCTGCCCCAAGCTGGCCTTTTACAGCTGGCTTTGGGCTCCATGGAATGCCTTAGAACTGGCCTCCCAAGAGAGCGGGTGCCTCATCCAGAAATATCAGTTAAAATGGAAAAAGTTAACAGGGCTTTAAAATCATCTCGTTATACTCTCCCCAGCCTCGCCCCCTGCCCCCTTCCCAGAGGCATGGTTTGGACTCCCGTGATTTCACCCAACAATACCTGGCAATGAGGCAGAAGGACAAGGGTCAGGCCATGTGGCTGCTACTGTTGCAGGGTTTGGTGCACTGGAAGTTTTGGAGAGAGCCCCACCTCCTACATGCTTCCTGTGTTTTCAAATCTAAGGTGATTTGTAGTTTTTAAGAACTCTAGAAAAAGATTCCAAACCCATGTGGACCAACAGAGCATTGACTTTTGTATATGATCCTTACTTGGTTGCTGTGACCTGCCTCAACCAGGAAGGTGTGTGCTGGAATGAAATTGGAATTTCAAGGCCTGGCTGTCTAGAGATAACCAGAGCTACTCACTGATAACTTGTGCCATGCCACCTTGCCTGCTCTGAGGTTTTATGACCAACTGATGCAGTGGTCCAGAGCTCTCCTTTTTTCTCAACTGTCTGGTCTTTAAGAATCTC